GAGGTGTCCTGTGACTGCTTTCAGAAAAAGAGAATTTAGTGTCCCATTATCAGGAGAAATGAACTTCTTCCTGCCTCGCACAGTTAGGATGACGCCATTAGGATTAAGAGGAAAAAGTCGACACTGACCAGACAGAATCCTTTGTTTGAATAGAATTTATGCATCATGTATGAGATGTATGAATATGCAACAGGTTATTAGTTTTAAGGGTTAATCCTCTGTTAACGTGGGTCCTTTTTCGAGCTTATGCTGCCCAGAAAAAGGTACCCAGACTGCTAGTAACTCTTTGTTTCTATTGTCTCATATTGTCCTAATTCAAATTGTCCAAATTATTATTACTCTAATTGTATTACTGTTTTTATAACCACTTTATTACTATTAAACTTTTAAAATTTCAAAAACAAGTGACTGGCGTTTTTCACACGGTGAAAACTGGATCTTGATCAAGCTTACATTGGAGACAGGCACTGAGCTTTCTTGGACTGCAGGAGTTCTGTACACACCCAGAAGGAGAACCTGAAAGTTCTCAAAGCATTTCAAATTAAAAAGAAAGATACCTGCAGGGTTAGGTGGAGCAACTTGCCATTTTTGTTTAAATAAAATGTTTTCTCCATGTAAGTATCAGAACTTTTCATCAGATCTAATGCAAGATTTCTCTTTTATGCAGCTTTCAGAGACAAGTGTATGTTTTAATGTAGTTAATGAATATTTGAAGAGATTAAAACTCTGGTGGTGGGTGTCAACAGCTGCAGTTCAAGCTGTTGGATGTATGCACAAATTATGTAGCTAGATAAACCTGGCAAACTGTGAGTGCTTTATCAAAGTCTTGTGAATGTAGTGAATTTTGGATGCAATCCAAAGGACTTGCACTGAACATGATTTAATAGATTTGAACAACTAAACCAACAGATACACTGTACTTTACAAATGTGTGAGGCAACAGATTCAAAGGCAGTCTTAAAGGGTGTGATATTCTATATATTCTTTATTTATGATTACCCCCCACTACCTCCCAAAAACCAAACAAACAAGAAAAAAAAACCTAAAAAACCAAAACTGAACAAACAAAGAAAATAATCAGTCATTAGGAAAAAAAAAAGTCATTTTTCTATCAGTGAAAACATGACTTTGGAACAATGCTCAACTTTCATACTTGCTTCAAGTTGCCATTGTCAGTAACTGGCAAGATACGTAATCTGACCAACAAGATAAATACTGGGAGAAATTGAAGTTGGCTTCATAGATATGTAAGTCACCAAGGCAGAAGAGGCTGAAAGCTCAGAGCATTTCTGAGCTTGGTTGAGTTAGCATATGTTGCTATATGATGAATCTCACATTCCTCTTGTGAGTTAAAATAGAGGGGCTTGGATTGTTTAAGTAGGTCCTGTACACAAGCACATATTCAGGAATTTCTGTTAATACATAGATGCAGATGTATGTGTGTTGACAGGACTTAAAAGAAGTACAGATTGATGCTGAAATGACACAGGAATTCATGGAAGTGAAATCCATCCACTCACAATACACAAAGGGCACAGTCACATGAAAAGCCACATGTGAGTAGTCCCATGATAATTAAGAGGTTAGGATAACATTGGCTTTCTGCAAAATTTCAAACCTCTTAGTAGGAAGACGTTTCTTGAAGTTAATTAGCCAAAGGGTAACTCTTATCTTTGACTTCTCAGAAGAACTTTCTTCCTCTTTTCTTAACTTTCTGTATCTGTGGTGTCTGTGCAGATAATTCTGTGTATTGTCATTTAACTCCTTGAGAAATCTTTTTTGTCCTTATCAGCAAATTTCTTTGATTGCCTATGAGCTTATTAGATTAGGTTTTTTACTGCCATTTTCCATCCCCACCCCTTTTTGAAATCTCCATTACAAATTAATATTTCTATTTTCTAATGTTGTGAGAAAGGGTCTGGGTAAATGCCAGTAAAAATCAAGTTAAGGGATGGTTATGATGGGCTCATTGCTTGGTGGGGTAACTGCTGATACAGCAGGTGGGAGGTGTTACAGCCACTCACCTGCACTGTGAAAGGGGAGGAGACTTTAAGCAGGCTCCTTTAATCATTTCTATGACCCAATGAACGTTTCATTATATGCAATGAAACACTTCTCCCTATCACAGTCACCCATGGTTCTGGAGAGGTTTGCATTCTCTTGCAAGGTGGTTGGTTTAGTTGATTGATTTTCTAGGAGGGGTGTGTTTTTGTTGGTTTATTTTTTCCTCCACCCAGTCTCACAGATCAATCTTGTTCTCATCCAGCTTGGAAGGGAAATAGAGAACACTACTGAAAAGTCAAATATTTTAATGCAGTGGAGGAAGCCTTGCTGACTCTGTGAAGTAGAAGAGTGTGGGTTGCTCCAGTTAAGAAATTAATATATATTCTGCTGTATGCAGGGTTACTAGAAGGTGTTTTGCTAGAAAGGTCTATAGTGCTTTTCAGCCCCTTCTGGGAAGGCAATTTGACTTTTACAATGCTAGACTTATTGAACACAAGTACACTTCATCAGGCTTTTGAAAGTTTCCCTGCCAAATTCATGTTATTCAATCCCAGTGTTAACTGTGTAGCCATTTCAGGTATTCATTTTGCCCTGGATCTTCTGGAGGGAAAATGATTGTCACGTTTGCACATTTTCATATCAAAGACACCACTGCCAAAATGACGTGCCTTTCAGTAGGCTGTAAGAACCCAGGCTCTTAAACAATCTGGAAAACAAGCTCTTAAAGTCACTTAAATATTTAGCAGTTTTTACACTATGTGCCACAAATGATATTTCAGAAGAAATGCATCTATGAGTTGTGGTAAGAGGTGTTTGCAAAAGGCATTGAAGTGCAGCTGAAAGTAGAGTTAGTAATGCAGCGTGCCACTGACAATGAAGGTACAAATGAACTGAAAAAAATTGAAAACATATGCATGAACTTTAGGCACTGCTTTTAAGAACAGTCTCCAGAAACACTCTGGTCCTTCTCTTGTTTCTTTGCAAAATTAGATCTATCCTATTATTTTTCCTGTTTTTCAAACGAGGTGCAGTTTATAGAAGGGATTAGTGGAGCGTACATTGCCTTTTCAGTGTTTTTGTATCCCGGAGCAGTGTTCTTTTGAGACTGTCACTCCATACAAGGTTGTTGGATGAAAAGATTATTGTGGAGTGAAAAATCTGAAAGAGAGTACATCTGGAAAAAGACCAAGATGATAAGAACTTGACACCATGTTGGTTACAATCCATGTTACAGACAGATTCTCCATCTTCAATAAGTGATATAAACAACTATTGTGCCTCAGTATGCCTGGTAATTAAGAGTCAGGGTGTAGGCAGAGAGACGTTTATTTCCTTCTCAGTTCAGAATTAGTAAATCCTGTGTTAGGGGATCTGTCTAAATGCCTGGTGGTGGTGCTGGATGTGTGGACTTGCCTAATGTTTAAAGGAATGCAGCTTTTACTGAATGTGCTAAAATCTCAAATGGTGTGAACTGTTGCAGGAGATCCAGACTAAGAATCTGTTCTCAGAAGTGCTTCCCATCTTATAGCAAGCCAATTTTACAGTGTTAAGTAGTGAAAACTATGAAGAAGTTTGATGAAACCTCTGATATCTACTGACAACTGTGAATGAAGTTGAAGAGGATGAAGTTTAGCTCAGCCTTAGTGGTTTCTTCCTCAGGACTGACTCAAACCTGTTACATACAGAACTTTTGTTGTGATACTTTCCCAAGTACTCAAATTTTAATGCCTTCCATTAAGAAACTAAACAATCAAATCATTAATCAATCATGGAGTTCTCTCTTGAAGATGTTACATGTATTTTGGGATTTCCTAAACCAAATTTGTTGTTGTTTAATTTTTAGGAGAGGGTAGGGAGTATTTAACCTGTCCAGTTAGCTGCAAACAATCTGCATTTTCCTGGCAGCAGGACCTGTACTTTGTCCAACTGCACATTTCTTACGTTCTTGCCAGTCCTGCCCCATTCTAGGCAGTTTTCAATTATCTGGCTGTCTGACAGAAATTGAGAGCTCTTTATCTGTGAACAGCAATGTTCTCTTGTTTCTCTTCACTCCACTGCATTTCAGCATGTAACCACTTGTACAGGGAAAGATAGAGACAGTGGCTGACCAAGGTTTGAAATGTATGATTTATGTTCTAATAGTGTTTTATTTCCCCTTTCTCTCCCTCCTTGCCACTTTCCCACCAGCCCTTCTGATTTATGCTGTATTTCCTTACTGCAAGGATCTCTTTCCAGCCTGAAAATTCTGGTACATTTTAGATGCCCAATATATTATTTCAAATGTAGTAAAATAAGAACTTCCCAGACATCTGAACATTTGAGATTATTTACAAACCAATGAAAGTATGTTTGGGTAATCCTCCCAAGGGCTGGGAGGGTTTCTGTGTGTTCACAGAAGTTGTGATGAGCAAGAAGGATCAGATAAATTTCTAAATGCTGTTTAACTCCTGATTTCCTCCTTGACTATGAGCAAGGCATTTCATTTCATTGTGGGTAGGTTTTCCATCTCTAGTAGTGGAAACAACGCTGCTCTTCAGGTTTTTTCTGCAAACTGTATAAGCACTCCCAAAGTCATCCTTGCATTGCCCACAAAATGCAGAGTGTATTGATAATATTAGGTACGTTAGAAGTTATAAACCCAGTTTCATTCTATGACTTTTATTAACACAAGACTATAAATGAGATTGTTTGCTTTATTGTTATACAACTGACATACCAGGAATGCAAATTAAAAAGGCAAGTAAGTATTACATCAGATTTGCCTTCTTGGGAATCAAATCAAGATTTTGCATGCCACAGTATTTCTGCAGAGCACTTTGGTAATGTTGAAATCCTGTTGCAAAAAATGGTGTGTGTGCAGTTTATTTCTGTAACATAGCCTGGAGTCCCAAGAATTGAAGTAGAGATGACTAATGTAGGTCTGTATGCAGTTTTATACATATCCTGGGAAATACTGAATAAGCAGTGTTAATTGGTTTTTTCCTTTCTTTTTGTAGGATTTGTGTGTGATTGTCATTGTGCTGTGCCACAGTGAAGAGGTATTTTTCACTTCAAGATACCTTGCATTAAAAGATCATGGTAGACAGTTTAATAGTTTCTTTGAGGTAAGTGATGCAATAAAGCATTTAAAATCTTATTTAATGTGCTCCTAACACACTGCAGTAAATTTCAGTTTGGTGGTCTCTTGCTCTGCTGTTACAAGTGTCTGTATCGTAGGAGGGTAAATAGAAATCTTGTCCCAAGACCAAATACTCAAGTATAAGCATACCAGACATAGCATTCTTTGGTGATAGTGAGAAAAGAAAGTTCTCAGTGTTAGTTCATGCTTAGAGCATCTGTTGGTGTGTGCCAAGGTTTGTATTACTGGAAAGTTCCTGTCCTTTTGGTGAGGCTGTACAGTTACAGTCACTGGGCTTAAATTGCTGATTTACATGTTTTAGTACCTGTGCTGCAATTCATTCATGGATTTGTCTTATGCATTCCTGAAACAGTTTGCCAGTGGGCAAACATAGGAAAGACCTTTCAAAGAGCTTTGCTAACAAAGGAAACATTCAGCTGTTCCTAAGCTGGTCTGTCCGGTTCTGCCCTGTCCTTGGGCGAGCAGATTCAGAGCAGACAGCCCTGGTGCCACACAAACACAGGCTGCCCTCCTGCAGGGAATGACAGCTCAGTGCTCTGTCTGTGGGAGGGAGTTACTGGGACACCTCTGCTCCAACCTTGCCTCTCCTGACTTTGAGACATCAATATTTGAATTGCAATTTTGGCACCTTCCTAGTATGCCAGGGCAGATTTTCCATCAAAATGGGTCTGTCACACATTACTGACAGCACCAGTGTTATCTTTCCAGCTGAAAGGTGACCTGCATAGCTCCTCCCAGGCTGTCCCAGACTCGGGCTGTTCAGCAGATTTGGGAGGAAGTTGGGAATTTGAGACAAGAGCCACACTGCTCTAGTCGGTACTGATCACCTGTGTGTGGACAATCCACACTTGGCCAGAATATTCCTCCATAAAATGCAGCTACTAAGGAACAGCAGTATGTGAGAGATCTGCTTTGGTGCCTTTAGCTTCATTCATGCAGGGCTAACACTCACTGCACTGAGTAGGAAGAACCCTGAGAGGTGTTCCTGAATGAGCTTTTTCATGCTACTCCTACAGTAGACCTAATTTTGCTTTGTGCTTGTGCCTCGCAGTCTCTCCCAGCTGTTTATATGTATGCTTATATTTAAGTTTCTATTTAATGTTTTTATATTATTGGCAATTGGTCTTGCCAATAAAAGAAAGTGAGAGAGTTTCAAGTCTGACTTAGCTTCAAACTGGGTGCTTGACTCCAAACAGAGCCTCAGCTGTGAGAGCAGGGGCTGTACCAGCAAGGTGCTGCACCAGAGGCCTGAGTTCTACAACCACCCATCAGCTGCAATTGGTACCTCACCTGGTCAGGTATACTTGAAAAGTTTTGCCTTATTTTGAGAAGTACTTGTTCTTTTTGGCTTTTCTGCCCTGTGAGGATACCTGAACCAAACCCACTGAAATTGGAGAAGCCTTTTGTTGTAGCTTGGGAGGCTTAAAGGTAGTCATGCATGACAAATAAAAGAGCCTAGTCCAGAGAACTTAGCCAAGCAAGCTGCTGAGGGGGAATAACATTAAAAAAATTAAATTGCCACACACTGATGTGAAGCTGGGGCTTACCTCAGGATAGCTTAAGTATTCCTGGCAGATTTCCTTTGTGTTTGAAATAGTAGCTTGATACCATTGTTTCTGACAGATCCAATTGCAGATACAGAAGCAAATTTAAAATCTGCCTTTATTGTCCTTGAGCCACATGCATAGAGATGGTGATTGTAGTGCAACCTCCTTAAAGAATGGTCAGGAAAAGCCTGGCACAGAGTAATCACACATATACTAAAAGTTTGCTGTTTAGAACTGAGAACTTTAATCTGGTAAGTAATTTGCTTTGAGGATTACAGTTCTCTTTCAGCTCAGAACTCACAACCTTGTGCATGATTTCAGAAGAATTTACACATGGAAATCTGTGCACTGTCAGACTGATCAGAAAAATCCTGTCCTGTTGAGGATGAAAGCATTCATTTCCTTATGGAAAGTCTGAACTTTCTTTCACATGCTCTGAGGGATTATAGGGAGCAGAAGCCATAAGGGAGCAGGGGTGGGTAGGAAGACTCTGAGATGGAAGTTAAATATAAATTGCAGAGGATGGAGGCTGGGCCCATCAGCCACTGCACTCCACCTACTTAGATGCTTGTCATTCTTCATTGACAAGAGTTGGGAGATCACTTAAACACTTAGAAAAGAGATAGGCAGGTGAGCTGAAGACAGACTTGATGCTGTAATTTTGCAGTTTGGAGGTCTGAGTTCTATTTCTGTCTTTGATTTCAGGTGTGATTTGCAAATCAGGTTATTCTTTTGTGCCTTTGGCTTCCATGTACCACTGTGTGATTGGGCCTTGCTCTGAACTGCATGCTTTGACTGCTGCTGTGATTTCTTTACAGTGTCGTACACTGGCTTTGATTTCAGCCACCTCCTCTGTATTTTGTTTTATCACAAATGATAGCTTTGTGAAATAGCAGGCTTCCTTCTAACACGCTTTTTAAAGAGCTGCTTTTTTTTTTCCCTATATTGATCTGGCAGTAAAGAAGTAATGACTTTTCCTAGGCTTTCACTGGTTTATTGGTTTGCTAGAAGGGGCATAGATGGTGAGGTGATGATAGGCCATGTGCAATCAGTACTTACCTAAAGGTTCCTTTTGCAGTATATTAGCAAGAACAAACACAGAAAACACAAGATAAGCATTGTCCCTAGCTGAAGAATATCTGTATTGGTGGTAATTAAATGCTTAGTATTAATAAAACCCCTTTCTCTTTGAGAGATCTGCCTCAGAAAATACCTGAAACAATAAGAAATGTTTAAAGGTTTACTGGGTAGGGAGCGGTGGAGCTGTAGACAGGAAATGCAGCTGGATTTTGTCTGGTCCATTAGTTTGCAAATATATTTTGTATCCAAATCCATCAGTTTTACTTCTGTATTGAAATTCAGCAAATCCTTAGCAGCTTTCTCCCTTTTAGTGGATCTGAAACATACTCTTGGTAGACTAAAAAGTCAAGCTCCTGGTACAAATCAAGATAACTTGATCCTATTTGCCATACCAAACCTGTCCATGTTTTCAGGTGAAGGGGCTTGTTAGAAGGAGACAAACCAGTTTCTGTTGCAAATTATAGCAAACAAAAGACTGAGCCAACTGTGCCTAAGTTGTAAGAGGCTCCTAGGAGTCACTAAAGTGGTGAGGCTTGACAGAACAGTTTGTTTGGGCTTGGTTCCCATTATGACTCCTTTCACACTGAAGATGTGAGGACTGGGGTGATGCTTGGCTGCTTATCCTCAGTCTCTGGTGGGCTGTGTTCGCTACTTTCCATCCTCTGTGCCCATTAGGTTATTCAGTTTTCACAAGGGTTAGGCAGCTGGGGAAGAACCCATTTTCTGTTTCCTGTGTGCTGAAGGTGGAGTGTTCATCTGTGAAATGAGGAGCCAGAGCTAGAAGCAGATGTGGTCCACAGCTGGGTGAATTCTTACTTAGCACTTTAGGAAACTTGCAAAGCATATGCCAGTTTCACACTGAATGCTGAGGTGTTAAAATGTGTACTGCCAGGAATTTTTAAATTTAAACATGAAGTTATATGAAATACTATCAGTGGATTCTATTTGGTTCACTTTTGCTTTATAGCTGGACAAATCTATGTATGAACCTGGTTCATACATTCAGGTATGAACCTGCTGTGAGCAGAATCTTATAAGGACATTTCATACAGTTCAGTGAGTCTGCTTTGGTTAGCAATGGTATTCAATGTTTAAATATCTCCTTGCAGTGCGAAGCCCTGTAAGATGATGTAGATGTGTGATTTGTATTAGTGGTAATTATCTGTTCTGTTTCACTGCCTTTTCAGACTTCTCAGTTCCCTAGCAGTGCTGGGATTTCAGCTTGTCATCCCACAGCCTTCAATTGAACACAGAAAGGTAAGCATCAGAAACATTCAGACTTTGTGTCCTGAAAAGTAAATGTGAAAACATTAGAAAAAGAAGTGTAAAGCAATGCAATCTGAATAATGTTCTGGGAATAAATGGCTTCTGTTTGTGCATATGAGGAGTTTTTAGTTTATTTTTTTTAAATATATACATGGTTGAAAGAGGCTCATCATGGTTACTTAGCTGAGTAGTTGTATGGAGTATTATAGGACACAAATAGTTACTAAAGCTTTGGAGCATTTTCATCATGCAAGACATGGAAAAAGAGAGTAGACATGGAGTGAGTAGAGAACCACCCAGCTGCTCACAGGCAGCTATTTCTCTTGCAGAGATAGAAATGTCTGAAACAGAAGCTGGACCCAAAGCACTCTGTTGCTATTCACAGTGCTAGAGATTGGAGCTGGAAACTGCTGGAATTTCCTGTTGTGCTCTCGTGGATGGTTCACTCATCCTAGACAGTAGCATCTCTAGGAAGGCTTGCAGCCTGCACACTTTCCATCCTGCTCAGCATTAGGGAGATCTTGGCTGGAGTCCTTGGGTTTTTGCACTGCTTTTCAGGAAAGTAGTGAACAATTTGGAGAGAAACAGAAAGCAACAGGGGTTATCCTTGAGAGATTTTAAAATCTTACCTCTGAGGGAAATTTGAACAAATTTATATTGTTTATTCTAAAGATTGGAAGACTGATGCTGGAGGAAGATATAATCTTCAAATAGTTTTTGAGTACAAAAAGAAGGCTGTTTTTTTCTGTTTGGTGGAACAGATTTAATCTGAGGCAAAGGAAACTTAGGTCTGACATTAGAAAACACTTCTCATGGTAAGGATATAAAGAAGATTATATTGATTGAATAATATTTAGAATTTCCATGATGTAAGTCTCTGTGAATGTGTTGGACAAATGTTTATCAGCAACAATGTGCAGGTGTTGCTCATTCTGCCACAGACCTGAGGCAAGACCCCTTGAATGCTGTTCTGTCTCTTCCCACTCTCACCACATTCACTTCATATCAATGTTGTTCTCATATCCTAATATGAGTTGGGATCTCATAACTGTTGGTATTAAAATGCAACCAATTAATTCTTGAAGGTGTCAAATAACCTGTTTAAAAACAAGTTTGCTTTTTACTATAGATTTTTAAATAATCATCTGAGATGTGTATTTTTTTAAACACTATACTGTTAAAAGGAGATAAAAGGCAAGTTTGCAGGGTTTGCCTTTTTTATGTACATGTGCCACTGTCTTTAGGGTAAAAAGTTATTTGGACAATAGACTCATAGGTATGGACTAGAAACCTGAAGCTGTCTGATTGTCAGAGTTCCAGAAGAACCCAGAAGTCCTGTTAACTCCTTGTGCAGGCTGTTTGTAAGACAAGTTAAATGAGGTCAGTAACATGGGGTGTGAAACTGGCCCAGTCCAGTCTGCAGCCAGCTGTCCAAGGGCTCTGTTCTAAACTGCAGGACAATTTAGTATTTCTGCCTATCTTACATCTCTTCTTTTGTTGTGCAGTTGAGATGGTCCCAGCTGCTGCTCTGGTTTCAGTACTCTGTCTGATTAGACATTCTTTTGTAACACTGACAGTGGAGAGATGCTTCAGTCCAGCTTCCAAATGGCCTTAGGGGGAATAAATCTACTAACTAAAATGGAGTAACTCACAGAAACAATTGCTTCATTCTGGGAAGCCCCGGAATTAATTTAGATAAAATCAGATTCTTTGTTTTCAATTGAATGAGAAATGCCACGGGTCTGGAGTGTGTTCTATCCTAGTTAAAGGGACTTAAGGGCATGGTAACCACCTTGGAGACGTCCCTTTTACTGAAACAGGGCACAAGTTTCCTGGTGACAATCTCACACAGGGCCCCAAGGCTGGCTGTCATTCTCAGCTCTTACCCTGAAGGACAGGATTCTATTCTTGCCAAATGGTGTTTAGGCTGGAACTCTGTATTTATGACACTTTTCACAAACCTTCTGCCCTACCTATAAGCTCCATGCAAGAGGGGCTGTTAGTAACTCTGAAGGCCAAGTCAGACATGGGTTTCTGAGTGTGAGTTCTCAGCTTTGTAGCTCTGGGGGTTCTTTCTATTCTTTTCCTGCAGTAACCCCAACATATATTTGCTGACATCCCCCGTGTATTTCTGGGTGAATATCTCTGCTGTTTGGCAGGGTTCTTCCTGTATGAGAGGAGGTTGGTTGTGCAGAAAGAAAGAAAGGGAGAGGAGGATGAGGGATCTGATGAACAATTTCAACAAAATAGTCAATAATGAAAGTGGTGTTTGCTGACTTTCATAGACACACTCAAAGGGTACAGTATGGGGAATCAAATAACTGGAGCTGATGTCTAATGAAACATTAGACCACACCCCAGTTCTTACTGTGTGTTTATTTTGCATTAAGCTAAACATGATTTAGCAGGTTGTTTCCTCAGATGCACACACAAAAATCTGTTTCTGGCATAACAGCATGAGACTGATAGCTGGAAGAATGAGCCAAATTACTTGCATAGCACAGAAGCGGACATATTGGAATTAAGACTTGGGGAAATGACAAAACCAAATGGCAAAGTTGTGGGACAAGGTTTGATTGGGCAATGTTTTCTGCTTTTAGTCTTTATTATTTTTGAGTGAAAGTCGTGAAAGCTTGTCAGACATATAAAGTCAGATTTTACAATACAGACTTTCTAGTTCCAGAAATACATGGCTACCTGAGTTTTATATAGAAGTAGCTTTTGGCCTTCTTTAATCAACACTGTCTCTGCTATCAGAAGTGCACAAAAACTGAAAACAAAACCCAACTTTATATGTTCCTACATCTGAGTTTAGGTCACTACTCTGTTATTCCTATAACTGTAAATGGCACAGGTTTGTTCAGTAATGTGAATACATTAAATGTGGTATGTTCATTAGAAATAAAAATTGTTACATAAAACACTTTTATGTGGTTTTGCTGAAGACAGGATTTGCACTGTTGGCTGGAAGTCTCTTGGAGCTTTTTTAAATAATCTGACTTATTTATTCCTCATGCATAGTATTTAATTTCTAGTATCAGGTGTACTCAGTAAGGCAAAAATACTCATCAATAACAGGGTAAAAGTGGGAAACCTTATGTTAAACAAAATAATTGCCACTTGCCTTTTAAAATCAGCCAAGGTCTCTGCAGCTTGGTAAGCTGCAATCTATCTTATTATTTGAACAATTTACTTGCCTGATCCTCAGTACTGGACATAAGAACAGCCCGGCTGCTGCTCATGATGCATTCAAGCTCTGTTCTCTCTCTGTGATTATTTTATTGAAAGTTAACCTTATCAGATAAGTGTCATACTGTGGTGAACTGAAGGTTAAACTATAAACAGTCTTTCTCCTAGACAACTATTGAAGTCTGTATTCCCAATTTTCCAGAAGTTACTTCTGGGTGGATTTTTGACTAATCATATGTTTCTGTGTTAGGAAACTAAGCTGTAGTTATAATTATGCCTTATTCATTTTAGCGAAACTGGTAATGGAAATAGTAGCAAAGTCTGTCCAAATAAAATTTCTGACATGAATATTGCTTTGGTTTAACATGTTGCTTCTGTTATGGCACTAAATAGGAGTGTTGAGGCAACAGAAATTGCTTTGAATATATGCATATCTTTTTTGTCACTGAGTTGTAGATGAATATTGAGTTCAGTGTCTTAACAAACTGATTTTTATTGTATGGAAGCAGTGTCAGGATTTATTTTTACAAGTTTTTCATTAGGGCAATACAATACTGTTAAAGAATTTTGAGCTTCTTTGGGCTCAGTGTAATCTCTTTCTGCTGGCTCAAAATTAAAGAAGAAATAAACTTGATATTATCTCTGTCAGACACACAATGTTTCTATGAAAGGCAACTATTTATCAAGTGAATGTGACTATACTCCTCACAGAATTTTGAGATTAATGCGCTTTGGGATGCGCGTTGGGGTTTGTTGGCTTCAGTTTTTTTGGCTGTTTTTTCCCCTCTCTCATGTTGGATTCAAATTCCCGTGTGGAGGGGCCATCAGTGCTAAGTCAAGAGAAATAAGGAATAGCATCCAGGATCAGAAACAAGAGCTGAGGGAAAAGAGTGGAAAAGATGGCCAGGATCCCTCACTTGGTCACGGTGAGCAGTTTGAGCAGTTCAGCTACTTGGCCACACTGTAAGAGAGGGCAATGTGCAGCACGAAGCAAATCTGCTCTGCCCTTCCTTGGAGCAAACTGAAATAAGACCAAGTAGTTGATATCTAAGGTTATCCAAAAGCCAGGCACCAGGACTAAAGCCCAACAGTTGTCAGGAGTGCCCTGGGACCTCCACCACAGCTGGCCACCACCTTGCCTTTAAACAAGCACCAAAGCAGAGGCTTGGGAGGGAGGGCTGTGCTCTTCCCTGCAGCCCAGGCAGGGTGAAGCTCTGCCCCACGGCCAGCACTGACCCAGGTGTGGAACTTGTCGGGGTTTGCTGAGCTGGAACTCAGCTGGTGCTAACAGCCCCAGCAAAAGCACTGCGGTCTGGCTGGGCTGAGCAACTGAACTGGAGTGCACTGGAGAGGCTGAGTCACTGTGCATTTGCACAGCTGCTGTTCCTTTGCAGCAAATGCTCACAGGTGTCACCCCTTCTTCTGTGGTGGTGTTTTTGTTCAGAGGATAACTGCTGTCCATTATTTGTGTTTTCATCCACATCACTCGTGTGAAACACTTCCAGCTGCAAGGGAGTCCATCTTTCTCTGGCATATTTCTCTCATATCCTTTAACTGTACACATATACATCTGCTCCTTTCATAACCTTTGGCAAAGTAGAGTCTTTCAGCTGATGACGTTGCCATTCTAATTGCAGTAATCCTTAGGAGATGTGATTTAGACCATGACAAGACTTTTCCTTTAAAATTAGCCTGTTAGTACAACAGAATATTTAGAACAACAGCTGAAAGAATTTTCTTACTGTCTCTGTGTTGTTACTAATTCCCTGTCCTTGATGTTGTGGATTAAAGTGGTTAGGAAA